ATTAGCCTTGCTTGAACTGCATGATTACTACTTTTCTGTTGCAGATTTTTTGCTACATCGTTAGAACACCAAAGCCTAAGACGACGATGGTTACATTTTACTTAACAGTTAGCGTGTTTCTTACGGACACCGGTGAGCTCATCAGGACTGACCGAAAGCAAAGTCGAAATCAAGTTAACGTTGTAGCGCACTGACTGTTTCAAGCCGCTCTCGTCCAAATATGAGGTTACCTATTAGATTAACGACTAAGCTCTAACATTCAATTATTTTAAAGAATAAGGAGTATTCAGTACGAATTTGCGCTTGCGTGCCAGAATGGGAAGGGACCCCTTCAAACCGCATCCTGTTTTCATTCCTGTTAATTACGGAAACAGTCGCATCGCTGAAGTGATGTGTTTCTGCTTGTGTAGCGTGGGATGCCATATATCTTATTGCAAATATATATTCCTTAATTATGATGCTTAGCCATTTGTATAACGTATGTATATAATTTCCGTCGCAGTCTTTACAGCTTTCCTTAGAAACTACGCTGAAAATTTATGCTGGGTTATTGGGAAGGAATTTCTTGAACAGGCGCACCCTGTCCAGTGTCCTGGCAGGTATTGCATTCGGTATTCTTTGACTAGTTTAGAAACATGGGAATAAAGCGAAATGGAAACTGTAAGTTGACGTGTAAATACGTGATCTGCTTACCATGATATTGACTTTGAATTAAAGTCTGTCGCTTTTCATGCACTTTTCTATTCGTTCATCGTAAGCGTATTCGGGCTCGTTTCAGCTTGAGCAACTTTGAAGCATACTTCAAAGTTAGCTGGGTAGTTCAGTTTTGAGCGCGATTCACGTTAGCAGTTGTCACGGTATTTGTCTACCTGTTGTTGTTGCTGTTATGTTTTGCTTTTTGCTTTTAACCTTCTGTCTGTCAGCCTGGTTGTAACTACTGCTCTTGTTTTGATCCGTAACAATAACAGGTGTCTTCATCTGCTCAGGAACGAACTGGGGAAATGAATGTTCAATGGCAGTATCTTTTGGGACGCCTATTAGTCTTCCTGGTTTTGCCAGTCTAACCGTGAGAAATGTCATTTTTTTTATTTCGTTCCTATCATGAATTAAGTAGTATCAAGAAAATATTTTACGACTGTTTCTTTAGGGAGTCTTACAAACACTGTCCCAGCAGTCTCTCAGTATGTGGTGTTAATCATGTATGAACAGGTTTGCTTGAAGTACGACTCGGTTCATCACTTCTGGTCATTGCTTTGCTGTCCGATAATTCTAGGGTGGGATAGATCTTTACGGCAACAGACAGTGTCTCCCTGCTTTACGTCTTTTTCACATAAGCTACACTATAGTTGTTGCTTGTTCTTCAAATTTACGTGCACAAGTTGGTTTTTTTCAAACCTTTCGTAATTATTTATCGTTTAATGTGGTTTTGCAGGTATTTCTAATACATTTTCTCTAGGGTGGTCAGCTGTGCGATTTCAGCGGATGATCCATTCGCTTTAGTGTCCCCACCATTGTGGTTCAGTCGATGGAGGTTCACACTCAAAGTGCAGAGTTCACTGGTTCGGGCCCCGGTCAGGTCAATTCTCTTTCATCCTTCTGACATAACTGAGTACTATTGCGTAGGAAGGAAGCAAGAAACT